AGGGAGGCAGAGGAAACAGCCGTGCAGAGAATGCGGGACAGCCGCGTTCGCCAGCAGCTAGCGTTCCTGGGGGAGCTAACAGTGTGCCAGTGACTTCTGCCCAGGCCCACGGCGAGCCCTCCCAGCAGCCCGTAGGTGGGTAGGGCCGTGCGCAGCTGCTCGGTGTCAATCCCCCTTTTGTGGATAAGAACTCTGAGGCTCGGGGAGGTTAGGTGACTTATGCACGATGACAGCTAACGTCGGGTCTCAGGCCTCTGACTCCAGACCCCCTTGCTCTCCCAGGCCCCCTCTGCCTGTGCTCTGCCTCCCTGAGCTCCAGGGTGGCTCCAAGTGGAGACCAGACAGGCAGTGAAGGAGGCTTTGGTGTAACCCGGGAGGCAGCAAAATCCCAGGAGATGATAAAACCTCTCCATCACCCAGCTTCTTATCTGGAAGGTGGGGGTGATGTTACCTCTTAGGGGAATGTTGAGGAATAAATGAGTAACTGCGTAGAGTGCCTAGCAGACGGTGATCATGGTCGCCTTCCCCAACACCCATGCAAACGTGCACACACCTGGACACACTCACCTGTGTGTTCTGGATCTGGATGGCTCCCTGGGGGATTGCTTGGGTGACCACCTGACCCTGGGAGGTTACCATGGTAACTGGCTGGTATAAGGCTCCACCTGAGGAGACAACCAGTGTTTGTGTCCCCTGCCATGGAGCGAGGGCACTCACATGTAAACACTTTCTGCTCTGGGGATACTCAGCCCCTGTGGAAAGGGGTGGGGTGGGGGAGGGGCACGTGTTGGGGGAAGGCACAATAGCCTTGCTTGGTCTCTGAGGGGCTCATGAGACTTTGGCCCAGATTTGTCCCAAATCATCACAATCAAGATTTGGTGCTAACCATCTATAAATTATATAACACTTTAGTTAGGAAACTCAGCTGGGGGCACCCTCCCATTTCCTGGGACACTTGTGCAGTGTCCTGCCCCTCGCCCCTGGAGTCCCCTTGGGGCCACCTTTTCTCTTCCCAGGGGTGTCCCCACAGTCCCCTGCACCAACCTGACACCACTTGTGAGTTGACAGTTGTCATGGCGATGTTGCTCTGCTGGAGTGCTGAGGCTGGGACCACAATCCCCTGGGGGTTAGTGGAGACTCCGGACATGGAATTGGGAGAATTCTGCAGGAGGTCCTGGCAGTAAGGGAGGCGTGGTTCGTGACAATGCTGCTAAGAGCTTAGATGCCGCAGCCCAGTCCCTCCTACCCCTTTCCCCTTCCCGCCTGCCCTCCTCCCTCCTTCCGGCTCCTACCCGGACCCAAATCCGAAAGGCAGTTCTCATGGCTTCTAGAAAGTGTAAGAAGGCTCAACACTAAAAACAACCGACCGTCCGACCGACCAACAACAGTCACCCTTGTAGCCATACTATCCCCCTGCAAACCCGAGGTGTAAATTAGCCCATGAACCCGAGGTCCCCGCTTGGCCCCACTCTGGAATGTCCACTACTGATGCTCAGGTTCCAACCCCAGAGATTCCCATTCACTTCATCAGGAGTGTGGCTGGGTTCTGGGTTCTAGAGGCTCCCAGGTGGTTCTGATGTGCAGAGGGGCTGAGGAGTGGGGCTGAGAAGCAGGCCTTGCGTCTCAGCACCAGGCGCCCTTCACACTCAGCTGGCCCCATGCGCTCCCTTCACTTCTGCACGCACCTAAATCCCAGCACTTATGACACCAAGTACACACACAAAGCAACCTCCAAGGCTTTATCTTTGTATCCTTAGCACCCAGCTCAGTGCCTGGCACCTAGTAGCTACTAAAAGACTTAAATAATAATAAAAATAGCCGCCCTAGCCTCTCCATAACTCATCTTCTGAGGGCACCTCTTACGAACCTCAACCTTATGCACATTTCATTGATTCCTTCCTCTTCCTCAGGCCCGGACAGCCAGCCCTGCAAACAGAGTCCCTTCCCCGAAATCGTCAACCTGCCAGCCCAATTTTCCCAGGGGACAATCCTTGAAGTTAGTTTCTGCAGTAGCCAAAGCAGCTAAAAAGACCACTTTTTTACTGGCACCCTGCTCCCCTCATTGCCATTTAACAGCTGGGCAAGGAAGTGCGCAGACTTGATGCTGATGGACTGCAGCCAGAGTAGAGGGAAAGAGACTGCGCTGCAGGCTGCAAGAAGGGATTGAGCCTTCCCTGCCTGGAGGCTGGGCACTCGGGGGGGTTGTGAGGAAGGAACTGGGTGGGTGAGTGGTTGGGTCTTCAGGCTTTATTTGGAGAAGGTGAGACATGCAGCAAGGGGTGTGGTGGGAGGCGCCATGGAAGACCTGCCCGGGTCTCTCAGCTCCTCCTCCGACAGATCCTCATCTGAAAACAGGGCTTGAACCAGATGCTCAGAGTTTGGATCCCTAAGACATGTGCTGTAAGGACTTAGGTAAACCGTCAAGAAAAAAGACCAAATATGGGGAAAAAAGACCCCAGCTTCCTAGGTTTGGTTTCAGGACTGACAGAAGCTTAGGCCTTAACCTCCAGGGAAGGTCTAGAGTGTGGAGTGGGGAGAGACGTGTTTGGAGGAAACCTTTAGCCAATGCCCGCCTACCTGCAGCAACAGACACAGGAAGAGTAGTAGCAAAGGCCCAGGGGACCAGCATGATGGGTCACCTCCCGGACCCTGGCACTGGAAAAATTAGAGCCTCTCAGGAAGCGGTGGTTAGCACTGACCCCTGCATCCCACTGGTCAGCCCATCAACCCCCTTGGCATCTCCTCCAGAGCTGCTGTGTTCACCCCCCGGACTGTGCCTGGTCCAGAGCTGCACCCAGAGAACTGGAGCCATTCTCCCTCCTCCACCCACCGTGCTTGGCAGGGCCTCTCGTCGGAAGCCTCACTTCTATTCTTGGCTCACCTCTGCGGTTGTGACCTTGGGGAAGGGGAGGGCAGCTCTGGCCCTACCTTCCCCTTTCTGAGACTCTGTGAGCACCTCCCAGCCAGTGGGGTTTCTTCTTTGAGCAGAACTCTTGGCCTTCCACTTATTCAGTTCAAGTCGAACCCTGATCTGACTTGCAGAAGCCTAGAAACTGGAAAGGCCCTTAAAAGCCACATATTCCAACTTCCTGAGGTACAAAGGAGCTGAGGCTCAGAAACTCAAGTGCCTTGTCCAAGGTCCCCAGCTGGTTAGCAGCCATAGGACTCCACAGCCCTCCTTCATCCCCAACTACTGAACACACCTGCGCCTAGAACTGGGCCACAAGGTGCTCCTTGAGTCACAGGGGTTCAGTGACTAGTCAAGGAAGGCAAGGCCAACAGACGACCCAAACCCAGAGCACAAAGGCAGTGTGGGCACCAGAGCAAAGACAATGGGCGTGGGCACCAGCAAGCAAGTCAGGGCCCTGCTGTGGGCCTTAGCCTCCTCGTTTACAGATGTGTCTGCCCAGTGCTGACATCCAATAACCCTGAAAGCCCGAGTCTTCACCTACGTGTCTGCTTCAAGGTTAAGCTCCTCTCATCCAACATCCCAGCCAACCATTCTCACAGGATGTGACCAGTACGATGTTATTTGAAGCTGAAGAAAATCCAGAAGGTAAGTTTACAGGGGAGGGGGTTCCTCCATGCACTCACCCTAAACCTCATGGCAATGACTTTTCTTTCTTTCTTTTTATTGAGTTTTTTTTTTAGAGAGGCAGGAAGGGAGAGAGGGAGAGGGAGATAGAAACATCGATAAGAGAGAAACATCGATCGGCTGCCTCCTGCATGCCTCCTACTGGGGATCGAACCGCAACCTGGGCATATGCCCTGACTGGGAATTGAACCGGTGACCTCTCGCTGCATGGGCCAATGCTCAACCAACTGAGCCACACCGCCGGCGACAGTGACTTTTCAATGATCTCTTGCTCGGACTCCACGCCATGGTGATCCTCAGTGGGTAAGGATATTAGGGGATTTCAAACATAAAAGTTGTCCCAGGTTTTCTTCCTCCCCAAAACCATCCAACAATGTTAGGAAGACACAAAATCAGTAAAATAAATACCAGAGGTGCGCCTTGGGATTCAAGCAGCACACATTTTACCAGCCAGAGGCAAAAGGTGAGCCATCAGCACCCACGAACCCTTCACTGCTTATGCACAACCTGGCTGGTTCTGGGCCTTGCGGCGGGCCCGCCTCCATGCCTGCTCGGGTAACTAAGGGCGATGTATGTACCGGAGCAGGCCCTTCCTTTCCTACCCTTCCCTCTTCTTTTGGGTCTGCGCTGGGAGGTGCTGAGAGGCAGCCAAGTTCTATCAGCAAAGGAATGGAATGGAGAACCTCTGGGGTGGAGACCCAGGGCAGGGCCGGCTGGCAGAAAAAAGCAGCAAAATCTTGGCATCCCTGAGGTCTGGGGAAATGATATTCACCCCTTACATTTGTAAACATGAGCAGATTTACAACCTGCCGGAGCACTGGGGTGGTTTTAAAGATACAGATTCTTAGGGCCATTGAATCAGAGACCTGTGCTTCTACTAACCTCCCTCAGATGATCCCAAAGATCAGATGAGTCTGGGAACTACCCATTTATCAAACACATTGAGTATCAGAGAGCATTCTTTCCCCATTTTTATCTCACCACGACCTATGCGGTCAGCAGGAGAGATTATTCTATTTGCCTGAAGAGGAATTGAGGTCCCAAGAATGGAAATTATTTCCTGGAGTCAAGTAGCTGTGCCTCGAACCCAGGTTCCCTGGCTCTGAGCAGAGTGCCGCAGCTCACACAGAGAGCTGTGCTTTGTGATCAGACAGCCAGGCTCCCACGTGTGCGGTGACTGGCACGTTTAGACGCCCAATAAATCATTTCCCACTTCCTTTGGCTAAAGTCACTCAGCTAGGGAGTGGCACAGCCATGACTGAAACCTGTCCCAGGAGTCTCAGAGCTGCTTGGGCTCTTTACTTGGCAATAGAAGAGACTCATCTGGGGATGCATGCCTGCCTAGCCATGGTGGTGAGTCCTTGCCGCATGCCCCTCATTCCTGCCTTCCACCTAAGAGGTTCCTGGGCCGAAGGTGCGCCACTGAAGTCAAGGCTGTAGCCGCTGACCAGATCTGTGACTTGACTTCGCAGCTATTTAAGGTTGAATCTCTGTCTCTATGGAGACAACAGGGCTCTGAATCTCTGGGAACAGCCTATAGGTCTTTCTGAGGAGGAAGCTACCATGGCATCTGCGGGAGCCCTTTGGGGAGAAACCGTTGGCTAAGCATACGGTAATATTATCTTCTCCCCAGCTTCCTCTTGGGGAGCATCAGACTCCAAACCAGGCGGATGCTGCTCCGTCTACACCCAAATAGAGAGGTTTCCTTCCAGACTCCTGAGCACCCATAGCGAGGTGAGGAGCACATTGCGTACAGTTTTAGTGACATTTTCCAGCTCCAGTCTCACATCTCTGCTTTAATTGTCCAGGAACCAGGGGCTGAAAGCTGGTTATACAGCCCAAGAGCTCTTTGTCTCGTCCTATCAGGACCACGGCACAGGTGTCCCCAAGCCTAGGAAATCGCTGGAAGCCTGGGAATCCTGCACCCTTTCCTGGCTTCTGCAGTGGAGCCATTCATTCAATTGAACTGGGGAATACGTGGCCTCATACTTTCTAGTAGTAAGATTTATTTCCTGGAAGGAAATGGGTCAAAAAACTGAACACTTTCATAGTTTTCCAGGGATGATGGATGTTTCAGAGGGTACAGACCAGGTGACTTGGGAGTCAGCGGGAAGCTGGCCTCTACAGGCCTCCCCAGAAGACTGCCCTGCCCTGCTCCTCAAGTGCTGTTTCCCTGAGACGGAGGCCAAGGGCCCTCAGGAGGGGGCAGAGCAGTAGCGGAGCAGCTTGAAAACAGCCGGGAGCTTGCACTCCTGGTCTCCACCCATGGACCAGCTGCAAGGCCCTCACTCCCCGGGGCCATCAATGGTCTTACTGGACCACTGTATAGTGGTCACTGGGTGAGTTTTACTCCAAATCTCGTTTTTGCAACAACAACAACAAAAAGATGACTTGTTGAAAAGAAAGACCTTACTAAGAAAAAGTGAAAGCCTCTGTGATACCTTTGGAGGCTGAGAGTGGCGGGGCGGGTGGGGAGGGCACAGTGGACTGACAGTCACTATGAACTCCGACACTGTGGGCCACAGTCAGCCGAGGAGGACCTGAGTCCCACCGGCCAGCCACAGTTCTTCACGGTCAAC